TAAAATTTTAGACGATATCGTTTGAAATCCATTACATGTTGACTTGTTTTGACTCTCTGAACAAAAAGGTATTTATGAATTGGAATAAATATATGCTTGGCAGGTCATAAACATGCTCAGGAGACCGAACGCTGATAATACCTTCTCCTGCGGTTCGGACATTAGTCGCGTCCACTCTCCTGATTCGGGCTGAAACGCACGTTTAAGACCGGCCAAGCACATATTCATTCCCCTAATATAATGTATTTCTTAAATGGAACTTTCACTTGTATCAAAAAAGGTAATTTTTGAGATGAAAATTGCCTTTAGGATAAATATTTTGTTTCATTTCGTTTACCTGCAATCGGTATTTCACAATAGTGCGCCTCTAAGAGTTTGCAACGCGTTGGCCAATCACAGTGCGCGAAATCTGTCCACCCAATGCGCATTTTGAAAGGGTCGACAGATTTCGCGCGTTGCGATTGGCCCACACGTTGCAAACTCTTGGAGGTGCACGATTGTGAATCGCTCACGTTTCCTTTTGACTGTGTCGTGCCAACTTTGTTGCCCGGGTTTCTGTGGCGACGGTCGGTGCGTGCTGCATCTCCAGGATCGAACGTAAAGACTTTTTTGACTATACACGTACCAAACTCAATGGACAAAATTTGAATTGAACGCTTCACTCGTTTTTTTAAACGGTGTGGAAAATGGTCATGTTGAAAGGAAGTGTTAAAGATGGGTGTTTTACAAATTAAATCGTTGTTATGGATGGATTTTAGGAATCGCGAGATCACAGCACAGCGTGGGCATTATAAGCGTGTTCACGTGGGAGTCCTTTTCTAGAATCTCCATGAAACAAACGGCTGACACATTGAAAAAAGAACGAGTGTTTCAATAATCCTTGTAAATAATAGCAACACTGGAGATTGTAGCTTTAGATGAGACAGCTCCTTGTGAGCACCCCTTTTTAATGATTGGAATAGGTACAAAGGCGCAGACCCCTTCCGTCCCCCCAGGAGGGGAGGGGCTAACGAAGACATGCAGGCCATGGAGTCGAGGTTGAGTAAAATTAAAGGTGTCAGGTATATCCTTGTAACGGTGATTCTTGTACATCACGCAAAGTTTGCCCAAGAACGGCGACATTATTATATTCGAATACACTACTATGTTAACGCGCACGCGATTACAAGATCACGCAGTGTGGTCCGCAGTCTATGCATAGGTTTTTTTATTTTACTGAATTCATCGGACCTGGGACAGTGAATACAAGTATTGTTTTTTGTTTTAGTATAATATAGGGCTACAAATTTAACTTGGGACAATGAGGGTATTAATTTCTGGCTTGATTTTGTAAAATTTCGTTTAAAAAAGAACCTGTACTCCGTTTTTGACAAGCAAATGATAACGCATTTAATTTTTTAAAGCCACACCTCCCTGTTGAAACTTACTTAGTGCCAAATGTAACCCGAGAAAAAATATTTTTTTTATTGCGAAATAATGCAGTAGTTTTGCGAAACAACCCAATAGGTTTGCGAAAAAAAGGCGCATTAATTTTGGCAATGTTATTATTGTTGCGCCCTCTTGTGTTTTGTCTCACCGCGTACGCACCGCACACTGAAATCACATGTCATATCCATTCTGGATGCGATTTCAAGTGGTGACTCGTGAGTAGGATGCATGCGCATTACACTCGGGTGCAGGAGTATGCCCCCCCCCTTAGCGGGACTATACTCTCGCTGACCAATGTGTCATACCCCCATCGGGCGAGCGCTCAGGGTATCGTGTTGAAGGCGCCTTTCCTTATGTAGGCCTACATTCTTTCGGTGCGTTGCGTACACGGTGCGTTCATGCGTTTCACTTTCAAGGACACAAAAATTGACTCCATTAACATCACGTGTGTGTAGCGTTCGGCCGTCCGAAAATCGCTGCAGGAGCGATGTTGAGGGATACGCAAGGCTAGGTGCAAGTGTTTATGCGCATATGGAAAAGCGCCTTAACACGGGTAGGCCTATATGTAGCTCGCTCGAACACACCGCCTGCGTCTGCTCCAGTATATGAAAATAGCAAAATCAACAATCGATGACTTATTTCTCCTGGAGGATCCGTAATGGGCCAAACGTCGTTTAAGGGTCCTTAAACTCGCGGGAAACCACCTGCACTGCGTTCCTTCGCAAAAGCATTGCGTTGTTTTGCAATGTTATTGCGTTATTTTGCATTAAAAATATTTTGGCCGAGTTAAAATTGGCACTAACTGACCTCCGTAAAGTTCAACAGTAGAAAGAAATCAGGAGTTGATTATTAATTTGAAAAAAATTAAAATAAAGATCGAACATGTTAGTTAATCAGGCATATAACACATCACAACTGATTAATTCAAGGCCGTCCAAAATTTTATGAAGTTATAACAATTTATCAGTGTTTTTTATGCATGAAATTCAAAGTCGGAAATTACAAATGTTCATCTTTTTTTCACCAAGGAATTTGTTTTTTTGAAGATGGTTAACACTACAATCAAATTAGCATGTCATGGCCATCGTACTTTTCAGCCAAAAGCAAAGTGCGTTTCCTGGCCGCTTGAGCCGGGGGGGGGACGGGCGGGTGTTGTACGACGAGCACCCCCACGTTCAAACTCTTCTATTGTGCAGCGACGGCTTGCACATCCATTGTTTCTTAGCTGCGTGGAGATGGACCACGATCAACGAACAGCTGGCAATAATTCTTATTGATAATTTATTAATTTCAATTGTGACTCGGAGTGTTTAAACCCATATGATATATATCTTTTATTGGACTGTCACTTGTATCAGAAAAATTAATTTCCGAGATGAAAATTGTCTTTGGGAGAGATATTTTGTTTACCTGCAATTCCTTTTTGATCGTGCCGGGCCGTGCCAACTTGCCAACGCGTTGCCCGCACACGCGTTTGTGTGCGACGGTCAGTTGTGCGTGCTGCATCTCCACGCGCTGTAGGTTTTGACGTATCACTCGTTTTTTATAACGTTGTGGATAAAGGGTCATGTTGAAGGGAAGGATTTCCTTTAAACGACTACAGTTTGAGGGTGAAGCCTTTACACATGCATTTAAGGAAAAAACTCAATGTTGAAGGTGGGAGTTTTACAAATTAAATCGTTATGCATGGATTTAGGAGTGTTAATTTGAGGAGATCATAGCGCTGCGTAAGAATCATAAACATGCTCGCATGTAGAAGCCATAGCTCGATCGAGAAGCTGAAATGGGAATCCTTTTACAGAATCTCCATGAAACAAAAGGCTGGTAGTGTGTATATTGAAAATAGAACAAGTTCTTCAATAATCCTTGTAGATAATGGAAACGCTGGAGATTGTAACTTTTGATAATAATGATAATTTAGAATTTATAGTGCACCCTTTCCATCGAAGTGATCAAAGGCGCCTTACACTGAAAATTATGCACGCCGGATAGTGCCATAGTGAATATTTTTTTGCGTCGGGGGGTGTAATACTTTTTGACAAATTATGTGGCGGCCGTCACATAATTTGTCATTATACCCCCTACGCAAAAACTATTCACCCCCTATACGCAAGAAATGTATATACCCCATGTGAAAAAAAATATTCACCCCTTATGCATAAAAAATATTTGAAAAAAAAATCACCCTGGCACTATCCGGCTTCCGTAGAAAACTTGTTTAAAACCAAGTACACAAAAAACCAATTTAAGAATCCAAGCACACAAAAACTGTTTAAAACCAAAGCAAATTGTACAATAGTAGTAGAGAGGCCACCATGTCAGTGCCCAAACTGGCGTAGGGGGATACGTTTGTCCCGTCAACGGGGTAACTAAGTAACTAACTAAATAAGCCTAAACCCTGTGACATTGGTGATGTCTCGACCTTTCCAGGGGACAGACTCCTCAAACCCTACCTACATAATTTCCGCTCTAACTACCTAACACGGTGATCCTAGAAATGAAAAAGGAGAAAAGACCAAAATACAATTATACATTTAAAATACTCGTCTAAAGAGGAAAGTTTTCAATTTGCATTTAAAAATGCTAAGTCTTTGTTCCTGTCGAATGGAAAGTGGCAAAGCATTGGGAGCTGCCACAGAAAAAGACCTTTTACCTGGAGTGGATAACATCTTCCCACTGGGATAATCCCAAAGAGGACTTTTGCAACATTTCCTTATAAATACCCCCTTATAATTAATGGAATATATAGGCTTACAGACCGTTGTGCGCATATCACGCGCAAACCCCTTCAGTCCCCTCCGGCTTGTCAGGCCCGTTGCCTGACCAGATACTGGGGGTTCGTCAAACAAAAAGTGGAACTTTTGACACTGTGAACACATTTTTTACAAAGGCCTAGCGTATCACAATGTGCTTTGGAAAACAGCATTGCAAATTTGCATATCTGTCGCGAACCAAAGGTTGCATGTAAGACTTGTACACGGTAGTTTTCAATATTGAATAAACTTAACAAAAATACATTAAATTTAACCCCTTTGAAACTCCTGAAATGTGGATATTTGCCGGGACTTCCTGACGGTAGGCTTACATAAGTGACCATGCAGGACTGGAAATTGACTCGTTAATATGCAGAATCGTGGTCACCTTGAGCTTGAGAATCAACGTATAAGCCGTGGCTTGTATGCCAAATATTACGGTATACATATTTAAAAAATTCAGTACACAAAAAAGACCAACAAGCGGAACTCAGAAGCGGCGGGGGGGTGTTCGAACTCCTCCAACCCCCCCGGGCCTGCTTGAGCAGAGAAAACTACATGTATAAGAGGTCGGACTTGAAGGATCATTGTCATGCAAGACACAGAAAAGAAAATAACGTGAAAATGTCATTATTTGTACCTGTTGAGCAGAAAATCTTAAGTGTGTCATTATACCACCTTCCTCGTGGTCAAATAATTTATTATTCAAAATGAATCAGGCGTTTCGTGTGTGATCATGGTGTGATCCAATCCGATGACTCTCTTGTGATGATAACGGCTCCCTCACCGAAGAGTTAGAGAGATATTATAATTTATAGGCCTAGACAGGCCCTAGTACCACTATCAGTATGGTGCCATACCCGTTATCGCAGCGATACTGCACAAAATCGGGCGTGGCAGCAAGACTAGAATGCATGACGGCCTCATTAATCCTGTCAATCTGCACTGAATTAAGTGGAGATTTACTTACAGATTAGACTACCAGGGTCATGCTATTTAGCGTCAACAAGCGTCAACTAACGTCAACGAGCCTCAACAAAATATTCAAGCATTTTTATGCAAATATTTTACATTTACAATATCAGTAAGGCTCCTAAATATCATTTAGTGGTTCACGTTATCGAAAATGATATTTGAGTGTGGAAATTTGAGAGACAATTCGGGCCTGCTAGTGCAGCCTGACCAGCCGCCATATTGTTTTCGCCTGGACGTACGCGGTGTAGTAAAGAAAGATGGCGGCCTCCATACATCGTGAAAAAGTTTTGTTTTTCTGCGTGAATCTGGAGGCGAATTCGATGTCTCTCTTACACAGTGGCAGGTCTTAGAGTCTTTAAATTATGATAAAACCACTTTTAAATCTTTATAGGGTACTTTCGAGTTGTTGGGGCTTTGTTGACGCTAGTTGTATGTATTGACGCTTGTTGACACTAAATAGCATGACCGCTACCGGGGTGAAGTGCTGAAGGTTCTGAAGGCCTGTCATGGGATCGCACATGTGATCAGTGCACGACTAAGAACAAGATGACTTGTAGAAATGAACGGTGGTGGAGAGCTCCGGCTGCCTTACTTGGTGGAATTCTTGTGCACGTTACACTGGGAACCATATACACATTCGGTAAGTGATGTCGCTTCTCCAAAACTATGGATGACTTATACCCGGCCCTTAGGCAACGAAGCAGATTCCCTCAGGGAAAGAGTTCTGACAAACCCGCTTGACGGAAGAGTTCCATACATAATTCTTCCCTACAGTGACAAAATATCCATCAGAAAGCAAAATAAAATGTCCAGAAATGTTCAATTTAGAAGGAGAAATACCAAGTCGTACCAAATTTTTCACACCAGTCTCATAGGGTTTGTGCATAGGGTGTCAAGTGGCGTCCCGAAGTTCTCTTTTCCCGTATGAGAGTGGTCTGATGCCCACCATGCAGGTTAACCTAATTAACTATTGCCCGCAGGCATTCTGGAGATTTGTGTTTGCCCCCTCCCCTCATTTTTTTGTCATGTTTATCTTGTGCAACTGGTTAGCCCCCAAAATCCAAAGGCAACACTCTCTTTACTGCACTTGACCCTATTTGGGGTAAATTTTCAGTTGTAAAAAAATTGTGAGAAAATGTGATTCTCTTACAGAAAAAGCAGCCATGAAAATGTAAATCCACAATTTTTCATGTTAAAACACTCACAGTTCCCCTCATAATTTCCCTCAAACTCCAAACCGTGCCCTTTTTTTCACTTTTTTTTCAATATCAGCCCTACGCGAGTATGATGCCATAGTCATCTACCAAGGTGAATCCAAAAGTTAAAATGTAGACCTCCATTCTACTTTAGGAACAGGGTCCCCAAATACACAATCCTCTGCATTTTTTTCTGGATTGCTGGACTTTTTGAACAAAACTAATACAACTGTTACCGTAGAATTGTGCTGCCAGTTAAAACTTACTCAAAACTGTTACTACACATATTAATAATAAAACATGTACATGTGTAATGGAAATTCACAAAGTTTGTTTTATTCACCTGTTATAGTTAAGACAAATGACAGTTTCAAACAGGAAGAGGTGGTTTCATAAGTTAAGAAATGTATTCTGATAGCCCTCAGCATTATCTACTAGTATTTGGAGGCCCGATTTTCCCTGATAAATTTGACTTACATTTTTCTGTTTTCCACGAGTGCAAGCAAATTTATCTTCAACTTCAAGCAAACCTGATGTGCAGTAAAGAAAGTAAAGGGCCCTACCAGTACATGCAAGTCCACTTTACATATAAAGAAGACAAAAGCTGTTATACGGCACACAGCAACAACTGTAACACCGATGTACATGTGCCAAAATTCTGCAATTTTATCTAGTGAGCATGGGAATTACATGTATGTGTGTTCAGGGCTTACACTAAGAAAGGAAATTCTTAGAATTGTACATGTGTGCATTTAACACGTAACGATCAGTACGGGCAGACACGTCACTTTTGAATTTACTGTCATGCAGATGTGCATTTGCATTTAGCGTAAAAATAGCACAATGCCTTGAGTTACAACAGTGCATTACATGAGGTTTGATATGAACCGTGCAATATGGTTGTATATCACACTGTTTGTTTCCATGGATCGACCCATCAGTACTGAGTATTCAAGTTTGCCTGAAGATAATGTTTCTTGATGGATGCTTGGCTATAAACTGCCAGTCAGGTTAAGATTCTGGATTTCCTTAACAGTCGTATTACACCCTGACAGTTGTACTACACCCATACACGTACATGTATGTACATGCACAGTACATTACATGTATGTAGGCAACTCATTCTTCATCAGGAATTGTTATGCAAGTATGCTGTTTGGTACTCAAGCTAAACTAGGCCGAGGGGCGAATAATTTACATGTTCAGATCGAGTCGGCAACACTCCTATTGACAATGCT